CTCTCTTACTTTTCTTACTGTTTTCTCTCGCTCTCTTTATTTATAAAACCTAGTTTGAAACCATATTTTCTCTGCAGCCTGATTGAGAAACTACTTTAAATATCTGTTGCAGGAACTATCGATCAATTAGAGAAATCTTGTAGGAAAAGATAGTTTGATTTTCCGGGTATCATAAACAAACTGTCAACATATGGGAAAAAATACTATCTTCATTCAACTAATTTATCAGGTTTGTGTGTGTATTAAGATCTTAGATATATGATTATATTAGAATAGTAATAATAATATGCATTTAAAAAATAGTTTTTCTTCTAGTGGCATATTAGGTACTCGCATATTTAACAGCCTAATCCCTATTCCTTATCTATAACCGTCTGTCAAGCAGATCTTGAGCAGTTCCCTAGAAGCCCTTGTAGCTGTGGGAGGAGGCTGTCGCTTATCAACAGGCTTGACAGCCGCGCACCTCCTCCCCGCAGGCAACAAAGGCGAAAAGTAAAAGTGGGCACGACCCAGACAAAGAGTGAATCAGGCACGAGCTGTGGGCAGGCGGAGAGCAAAGAGCAAAGAGCAGGAAAGCTGCTGTTGATCAACATTATCGGCGCGCTCTGTCTCTTTCGCCCGCACAGAGCAGCGCTTTATTGTTGGGCTGCAGCTGAGGCAGAGGCAGCGACAGAGGCTGAAGCAGCGACAGCGGCAGAGTCGAACCTCGCCAAGCCTCAAGTTGAGGCATTGTCGACATAAATGCACAATTTGCGCATAAAAGCATGCACACACATGCACACACATACACACACACACACATGCGCGCGCTCTCATATTCAATGTACTTCCGGTGGCAGGACCTTTGCCCAGAGAGGTAAGTGGGAAGGGGGGACGCCCCGCCAGCGTCTGTTTTGATGTGTTTTCAAGGCCCTCTGACAGTGGCGGTGTTACGGGGATAATACACACACTTAATTGCTCAAAATGATGCGATTGTGGTGCCGATGCATATGCCACACACACACACACATCTATATATATATATTTATAAATATATATATATGTTAGGCATATATGCCCATTCATCTGCTTAGGAACCACCCGAGCGACGTGCAACAAATGGAAGCTTCGTGCAGCTTTTTGGCGCGCAACAGAAATAACCGCCCCGATTATGGCTAGACGAGTGTGTATGGGTGTGCGTGTGTGTGTGTGTGTATTTAAGCCACAACAAAAGACACTCAGAGCATATCATTGGCGTTTTGTGTGAGCTGCACATAAATCATAATTGCATTTAAAGATTTTTACACGCGTTTCTGTAGGGAAAACATAAATGAATATCGAACGGCTAACACTGACTACGGAAATGCCCTACCAAAGGTCATCATCATATTGGAAATTTAAATGCTCACTGACACACTTACCGACATGTCCTCCAGCTCGTCTTGTGTTAATGGTGATAAAATGAAGACTCAACGTAATTGCCTTACATAATTCTTATTACAGTTGCTTGTCGTAGCAATAAGTTCTTAGTGAAGTCCGCTCGAGGACAATGCTGCTGACATGTCCTGCAAGACGTCTAGCATGACAGATCTGCAAGAGAGAGAAAGTCATAAAAACAACTGGAATTTTATTCTTATATTATTAATATAATAAATATTATTTAAATAAAGAAAAATCGTAAAAAAAGAATAATAATTTAAATCGAATTAAGCCTTTTTCGGCTTACAACAAGAAAAAAGCAAATATTTAAAGTTCGTAAAAATCTTTTTATTGGCCAGCTCACGTAGCTCAGTTTATGAAGTGTAGCTCACTTGAATGGGATATATTCGGTCGCCCTCGGTTGCCCCCCACTCCCCCCCTCCAACTGGCGACCCACAAAAAACGCAACCACGTTTCTGCGTTTATGCTCAAGTGTCCTCCAGTCGTCCATGGAACCACTCCGCGTCCGTGAGTAGAGAGGCATTGCCATTGTTTCAATTTTCATATCGGTTTCGGTTTTGGTTGTGGTTGTTGTTTGTTGTTTTGATTTCGATTCTGATTTTGATGACCTCGCGCATTTTACAAATTCTATAACTACGAATGCTGCGTCTCAGATTTTTATAGCATATATTTTATATGTATTTGATGCCAGGGCAATGGCCGGGCAAGGAGGGGGCCGTGCCGGGCCTGGCCTCATTGCTCGGCAATCCAATTGTCATTCGTGACAGCTGTCGATCAGAAATGGCGGCTGAAAATTTGGTTTATGTATTTGTATTTAACGGTGGTTGGTTCCTCAATTCATTGACAGCCGCGTCTCAATTCTCAACTCTCAACTCTCAATTGAATTGCGATTTTCATGTAATTGCCGCCCTTTGTTTGGCCGCATGTTTGGCATATTTTGTAAATTATATAGCATTTACATAATCTCGATCTCTTCGACAGAAATGTCATACGATACGATATGATATGATATATTCATGTTTGGCTACTGTGCCGAGCATCTAGGCATACATTTGTCATGCTAAATTAAACCCAAAAATTAATCTCACATGGCATACGTCGAATTAAATTGAATTGTCTGTTGCGTACTGTCAAATCTATTCAAATTTAAAATACAGATGTCTATACTCAAAATTCTTATTATTTAAACGGAAAGCTTTTTGCTGTAATATAAATATATATGAAATAAAAGTTTTTCAAAAAGTTTGACCATTACAATTTAAGGCATTCGAAGTTAATGTACATTTTTTTGTCAAAAACCATGTGAAACGAGAAGGTAGGAAAACTTCGGCACGCAGAAGACTTAATACTCTTATAGACATTTCCCTTTCACGAGAAGCTACTTTCCGATTATGATATAGAGGTCCAATGTTGACAAGATGTTAATTTAAAAAAAGGTCAGAACCCACTTTGACCGATCGGTTTTATGGCAACATAGAAACAGACAGGTGGACAAACGGATAGATGGACGGACAGACAGACGGACATGCGGACATGTGGACATGCGCACATGCAGACATGCAGTCATGCAGATATGCGGACATGTATACATGTGGACATGCGCACATGCAGACATGCAGACATGCGGACATGTGGACATGCTGATCTGCGGACATGGCTATATGAACTCGGCTGTTGATGCAGATCTAGAACATAGAAACTTAATGGGGTCAGAGATGTCTCATTGATGACAAAATTATAATACATACAGGGGTAAATGTATTTCCTAGACCTAGAGAGATGAGGCAAGAATAGGGATATATATTTGTACAGAAAGAAGCTGGAATGTTTGCAACTGCAGCCCCTAGGCGGGCATTCGTTTCAAATGTAATCAAAATTGTGCCATATAAGCCCCGAGGTGTGCCCTATATTAAAGAGCATTGTGCCTTGTGCTCCGCTTGACTGCTGCATTTGCACCTTGCCACCGATCAAGTGACATGCACATTGATCACTTGGGCGTACCCAATTGTTGTCTGCCTGATTCCTGATTCAAATATCTAGCGACGGGAAGGGGGCGAATCAATTTTGGATTATGTCTGTTTGATGTTTGGCAACTGCGTCACACCTTGCCAACAACAAAAACAAAACGCACAACAACAACGAGAAGAAGAACCCGCCAAACACCTTTCGCCCGTACATAAATGTTCGAGTACATTCACATTATTCACACAAAAATTCGAATACAATTTATAAACTGCTGGCGGAGACATCCGTGCTGAGAAATTGCCCAAACGCAATTGTTTTGCAACTCCCAAAATCACAGAGCTATTACCTGGAACGGGGGAGAAGAGGGGGTGGAAGTGGAAGTGCGAGACGAGCCGCGTTTGCATTCCCGCAGAAAAACATCTGTCGCGGCGGCTGACGGAAGTCGTATCTGACGGCACGCCCCACACTTCAGGCACGCGGCAATCGGCTGGCAAATGAAGAAGGGGGCGCCTCTCGCCAAATGTGGGCATGGCCATGTCACCTTTTTCACTGCAAGCTGCGATTTTGCGACGTTGCGACGTTGCGACAGAAGTTACGGAAATTATTCATAATTTTCCACCACGTGGCATGTGACATGTTGTCGGAAGATGTTATCGCTGGCTCACAATAAGGGTTGTCTGTCAACGGAAGCCGGCGGCAGATAATGATGGAGAGAGAGAGAGAGAGAGAGAGAGAAGGGGCATCGCAGGCAACAAGAGAATGAAAAGAAATGCCAGCATTTCGGGGAACTAGCTTGACCGGACCTTATTAGGCGCTAAGGCCCGAGAGGGCACGAGCTATTTAACAAAATTTGAGCAAGTGTGTGTGTATGCAGGACTAACAGATACCCCGCACCAAAGGCGATAAGTAAATAGTATATATAATATCTCGCCCTGTGCCTGTGCTTACTTGCCGTACAAAAAGACGAAATCCATCAGCACAAGACTATAAAAATTGTATTATTTAATTACTTATTTGTTAACTATTTAATCCCTTTGAAATTGGCAGGGCTTAAATATGGCATTCTTATGTGTGTATGTGCCAAAAATCAGGTCTGTAGAACTTAAATCTGAAAGTTAGGAGGGAGAGGTATACAAGTCTATGCTATGTGAGAACTTATATGCAAAATTTCGGATCTCCAGATCTAATAGTTCCCGAGAACTGATTCAGAAACTAAAGTTGGGAATCGATATTTATCGATTACAGTGATTAAAGTAATGGAAAAGTTATCGAGAAGAGATGAAAGATCCTAGAGACCTTAATATCGAAGAAGTGCGATGTACTTGATCGAATCTACATGCAATATTCAGGGCCACCAGCTCTCATTATTACCGAGATAGGCTTAAGAAACCGAAGATAGATAAGGATATTTTTCTATTTAACGAATTAGCTGTAGAGAAAAAGAATATAAGCCGACAACCCTGAATCGTCTCTAGCTCTCATAAAACCTGACATTGACATTTGATAGGAAGGAAGATGTAAGAATAAAAATTACAAGAAGCTTTTTTAGCAACTAATAACTAAAACAAGTATATAGTTTTTTTATGCTATTTATGCTATTTTATACCTATCGATATTGAAAATCGATATTTATCGATTTTAGAGAAATTGAGCAGTAGTCGAGTGAAAATAAACCTCCACAAACCTTAATGCTCCTAAGCTCTAGTAGAGATAGATAAACGGACTCGGCTATATCGACTCGACTCATTGTATCCCACTCAATCTCACAGTTACAGGGTATTAAAAACACAAAAAACAAAACTGTTTGTGGGTTTCCTTATGATAATGACGTGATAATTGCTTTTCACTTGGGTAGCATCAGAAATCACAGTAGTCGGGCGTCTGACGTTGGGCGTCTGTCCTCGTGTCCGTCGTCATCCGGTTGTGGAATCCTTGCAAGTGACACATTCACATTTTATAGCACAAGTTCAAAGGACTTTCGGGGCACACCTGCTGTGCGCTTTTAATTGCAATGTGACGAAGATGCCAAAACCGAAAATATGCCGGCAACCTGACAGGATTAAGAAGCGACCGCCCGGCGCTTGGAAACAAAGTAATTACAGGGCCATGAGAAAACTGAAAAAAAAATGTCAGTAAAACAAAATAAAAATAAAAATAAATATAAAATATATATGTATAGAAACATAAATCGAAAATAAAGAGCTTCAATTAGACGCAGGACACGGCAAGTGTCGCACGGCGACAGCTTCCCACCCAGGACGAGCCGGAAGAGAACGCCACAACATTTCAAAAAAAAAAAAAAAAAAAAAAGAAAGAAATGGAAGTCGGTGGAAAATGGAAAATCGCTTCTAATAGCCAGCGCCACGTGTGTCCCGTGCAGTCGTGTGTCAGAAAAAGGACGACCGCAGCTCACACCCAGCGACTGACTCCCAGGACTCTAGCGACTACTCCTCTATCTGGCCAAACAATGCCAAACAATACAATTGAAAAATTATCAAAAATTTCGCACTTCCAATCCAACCGATGCGTAAATGCCGCCCGCCTCAACCGACTACCGGACCCCGGCTACCGACATCCGTTGCGGTAATGCCTGAGCGGCCAGAGATACACTTGATCCCAGGGCAGAGCACGCGCCGGCTGACGTCGAGGGTGTCAAAGACGGGCAGACGGGCATCATCAATATCTGCGACCGGGGTCTGTCAAATAAGCGTAGCTAATGTGTATTAAGTGCACTTTGCCCAAGGTTCCGGTCAGGGCGGGGAACACAAACTTCTGGCCGTGCATAAGTTAAGCTAATCACGATAATAGCCACAGCTCATGCAAATGTTTTATGGACAGTTATAGATGCGATATTGAAGTCAAGTAGCAGGGTCAATGGGTTTGATTTGTATAGAGCTAATACGAAATTAAAGTGGGAGGGGCTGCTGAAGGAGAATATAGCAGGAATATAGAATTTATAAAGAAATCAAGATATTAATATTTAGTTTTAAATTTAATTTCAATTATTATTATATAATTTAAATATTAAATGCAATTTATTTTTCAATTTGCTGCAAATCAAAATTAAAGTTCTTCCGCAAAAAATATCGATTAATTGCGCTCGTTAGCCAACACTGAGAATAGGGTGACCAGACTCTGCTAAACTATCGAACGAGCTGTGCAAGCTGTACACGTTTATTTAAGCTGACTCATTTCTTTTTCATTATGCTTTAAGAAGACGAATGAAGATGAAGAAGATGAAGGCGAATGTATTGTTATTGAGTAATAATAAAAAATTCGTCTTCATCTGCATCTGTTGAACTTAACTTAAAGTATTTATAGAAACCTACCTAACAGCTGCCTTTGCCCAACTTTTGATGGCATTATGGCCCCCTTCTAAGGCTGCTCTACACCCATAACAAGCCTGGAATTTGAGCTTGAATCCTGGCTGATTAGTTGCCTGAATGAGCATAGCTTCGATCTTGGCCCCGCTCAACCGATTCATGCAGAAAGTCAAGTTGAACTAACCTAAAATTAGGCAAACGTGCCAACTCGCTCGAACCTAGTATACATCTGGACAAGTTGTTTAGCCTCTTTCTTATTATATGAATCATTTAAAACTAGTTTCTCTTTGCTTGTTTTTACCAACTTTTGGCTGCTTTCGCCTTTCTACGCGGCAAGCAACACGCCCTAACCTCACTTTTTTTGCCACATCAAAATTAGCTATAAGATATTATTTTACGCACAAAAACACGCCTTGAATACAATACACAATGCGAAGGGCTGTCATTTACTCGAATTACGAACTGGAATTTGTTTTGTTTTTTCTTACTTAAAATACGCTTTTAGAACGTTGACTCACCTTAACCTCAATTAAATTAATTGCGACTTGAAAACACTTTGTTTGTTTTGCGCATCTTTTTTTTTAATTCTAGCAAGATAATTTAAAATTTTAACATTTGTAATTAATAACAGGCTTACGACTAAGCTACAATTAACCCATTAAGCCCAGATATAACAATTAGTCTCGATCACGTTGAACTAGCTCCAAAAATAAATCCCCATTGCCCGTAAACAGGTTGGGAATTAGGAGAAGTGCATGGCATTGAACTTTTCGCGATTGTCCTTGACCATATTATTGTATTTCCATTTCTCGGCGCTCGAGGCCTGACTGCTCCAGGCGCCCGAGCTGGAGCTGGAGGAGCTGGGGCTGGACGTCGACTTCGGCTGGGATTTGCCCTGTCCGGCATTGTCCTTGCTGCTCGAGAGACAGAGATCGGTGCGTTCCGTGTAGACCATATTGCCGCGTTTCCTTAGGCTGACTTCTTGGGGCTTGATGAATTCAATTGTTTAGCCTTGTTTCTTTTACCGATTTTCAATACCAATTTTCACAGAGCTGCGCAGTTGAGATTTTAAATGCTGGCTGGTAGCTTCGGGTTCAAAGTTCACGGCACAGTTTGCAGCAGCGTCAAGACTTTCAGTTCCTTATTGTTGGCCGAGTTGCCTGTGCGAGATCCTTTGCTGCACGACAGACTTTTGTCCAATCTGCAAGCGAACAAACATCGAAACCTCAATGCGCTGGCCTTGCCGACGTTAGACAACACTGGACTTACCCTAATTGTTTGAATAGTTTGTGTTTGGTATCCGTTTTGCTAATTTTTGGCATTGACACAAAACTTTTGCAATTTGCACATTGGTATCGAAAATTAAAATATATGTTTTTTCTATTATTTGCAAGGATTGTGAACGATGTCTTCCACAGCGCTCGGATCAAATGCAACGTTCACCTCCGTACGGAACTTTCTACTGAGCCTCTAACGATGCCTGCAACTGGCTTAAATAAGCGAACTGCTGCGAACTGCGGCGAACTGCTGCGATTGCTACAAAATGCAGAGCCCGATGTTCAGCGTCACGGTTCTAAGCAGCTGCAAGGCAACGTGTCGCATGAGCAATAAAGAAAGCCCCTCCACACACCCCCCGCCAACCCTCGACCATCCCCAACGCCGAACGGCACCGACCCTGTGTATCAGAGCCAGACCCCAGAGCCCCAGACTCAGACGCAGACAAAAACTCGTTGAGCGACGTCGTCGTCGTCGTCGTCGGTCGCAGCGGCGACAATGCAAATTAGAGTAACTGGTTTGTCAGAAAACGAAACAGAAAACAAGCAGCAGGCATGCACGACTAGCAGATACCCTGTAGCAAGGTCAAGGTTATTAGCTAACCAATTGTGCTCAAGTCAATTTTCTTGTTCAATCAGTACGAATCTGTTTGCTTAGTCAAGGATCAACGAACATTAAATATATGTTCGACTAGAATATACCCTGTAGCAGGATCTATAGGATCTATGCTCAAATAACTCAAGCATTTCCTAATCAATCATTTTCAAAATTTTTAAAATGTCAAAGATTATGCTTAGATAAAAGTATCATATATATCTTTCTATTTTATTCCTATATTTTTTTGGAATTTCGCAAGCTTTTGAAATGCTTCTCTTGAAGTCAAAAACAAATATATTCATATGCCTAAAATAGGGTATCTTTTTGTGCAGCTCAACTTTATCTTAGTTGAATCTTATTAACTACAAACAATTATGAAATGAAGCAAAATGTTGTTTGTCGATTTTGCACACATCCGCACAAACAAGCGGAAAATGCGTGAAACCGCAAGATACAATTCACAATTTTACGAAATGGTTGTTCGAGAATATACCTAAATATAGATATAAACAGACTTCTATTCCCATATATATTGGGATACCATATACCCTCTCTTATAGCTTCACTGAATACAGGATATACTTCAAAAAGAAAAAAACCAAAAGAGACCCCTCTACAGTCGCGCCTGTTGACAACTGTCCGAACCTGCCGAGACTCACGTAGTACGAGTTACTGCGTCAGCTTTTGCCACCGGCCGGCTCTAGGGTTCGTTTTCGCGTATTTCTATGAGGAGCTCGGCCTAGATGAGTTATCTGAACATTTTTGTATTGTTTTCTTTTCTTTTGTCAGCTTTTCAACACTGTTGCATTTCCATGCGGCTGCCGTGTGGCCATCGCATGAATAATATGAATATGTATATCGAATGCCAGCACTGTCTCTGCCTTTGCGCGTCTATATATCGCCAGATTATGCATGGGCCTGTCTGATGAAAATTGCCCGTTGCATTGCATCAGCCAATTTGGTCATGAAATCAACATGAAAGCCTGTTGCCAGTTTAATGTATTTGTATTTAAATCTGCTGTTGTTGTCGATTATATAGCCGTAGACCGATCTGTGCTATACATTACAATAAACAATCCCATAAATGTCAAATATCTATATATATATAAATTTTAGGTTCTAGGTTGGGTTTCTTTTACGATCGTTGCTGAGGATATCCAAGGGAGAGCCAATTAAGAAAATGATCAAATATAGGTTTTTTTATACTTAGGATTGAAGACATTCAAAGATTAACTAAAACGAAGTATTCTTTTATAGGGTTATGTACAGAATGAGTATCCCCGATTATCATTGGGCAATATGAAAAAGAATTTTATTCTTAAAATGTTTATAACTTTTAAGATGGGAAATATGACAATTGTATTCTTAAGATTTTTTTTAGAGAATAAACTATGGAAAGATATCTTAAAAGAGCGAGTAAATGTTTCAACCTACTCGCAGCAAATTCCTAAGATATATGATATATAGTAATTAAGCCAATATACCTAACTGTAACTAAAAATATGAAGCTATTAATTAATATTAACAATGGGCCCTGCTCAAAACTACATCTAATTGATATATTGTAACTGGCCCATTAACTATATTATACAAATATATCATCTATCAAACTCGTCTGTGAACCAGTTTCTGGTTAAGAAATTAATGTAATTGCTTTTAAGAAATAGCTGCGATATAATACTTTATATAAATGCTATATGTATATATTGTTTGTTCTATAATTCGATTAATAAAAAAAAAATGCGGCCGTTGACTGTAACAAAAAACTGGACATTGTTGTACTTTGAACGACTGGGCTCCTCTCGCCTAAATGTCAATATTTGCACTTGACTCTCGTTTGGGAATTGAATCGTTGCTAATTTTAAAATTTTAATTTTAAATGCCAAAATGTTGCAATATGCAAATTTTGGCCAGACACATGAATTAATCTATTGTTTAATTGTCAATTTGGCAACGTGCCCAGACAGTTGTCCCCACAAAATATTCCACTACGGTACAGGTTCCCAACAAAAAATAAAATAAAAGAAAATAAATGAAAAAAAGCAGACCAACAATTTGATATATAAAGTGAGCTGCAGCTAAAGACAAATATTTTGGCCAAATTCTTTGAGCTGGAACTTATGTTAATTCGCTAAAAATAGTTCGTTGACAAATGCGGGTTATTTTTTAACTTGGTCCAAAATACTTGATTTAAGCGTGTGTTGCCTAACTTGCGCTCTTTTTAAGCGTAAGTCGACTTAATTAAAAAAGAAATGAGAAATATTTAAATGGGTTGCACTTAAATAAAAAGTGTGTTGAATCTAAGTTAGAAGCAAAATTGTTTCTGAGACTTTTAGTTTAAAAACAGGCTCAGAAACCAACTAGTTTGAAGAGCACTGAACTTAATTTAAGTCAATTCGTATCTACAATTATACAATTGATTCTACATGCTTAAAAGCGTGTTATGCCCAACTTACGCTCATTTTAAGCGTAAGTTGACTTAATTAAAAAAGAAATGAGAAATATTTAAATGGGTTGCACTTAAATAAAAAGTGTGTTGAATCTAAGTAAGAAGCAAAATTGTTTCTGAGACTTTCAGTTTAAAAACAAGCTCAGAAACCAACTAGTTTGAAGAGCACTGAACTTAATTTAAGTCAAGTCGTTTCTACAATTAAACAATTGATTCTACATGCTTAAAAGCGTGTTATGCCCAACTTACGCTCATTTTAAGCGTAACTTGACTTGATTCAAAAAAGAAATGGGATGGGTTTCATTTAAATAAAAAGCGGGTTGAATTTAAGTAAGCACAACTCTTTGTAGACACTTTTAGATTGAAAGCAAGCTCAAAATCAAACTAGTTTGAAGAGCACTGAACTTAATTTAAGTCAAGTCGTTTCTACAATGCTTTTATGCAAGAACATTGAGCCCAATTGCACTTAATGACAATTATTGAGTACCTACAAGCTGGCAGGCACTTAAATTTTAACAAACCTCAGTTCTCGTAGAATCTAGCTATTTGTTTACCAAACTTTCAGCTTGTGGGGAACTCCCAATGTTTTTTTTGGTTTTCCACAAATGTTTAGGCGCTTGAAGGAATATGACGTAGTTTGCGAAATGTCTCCCTTGCTGTGGGGCAGCATTGACGCATAGCTTGGCGATGAGATCCGAGATTAGGTTGTATTCATATTTTTTCGGCTGTTTTCAAAACAATCCGTGATTTGCATATGCGTGTGGCCGTAACTTGTTTGGCGGCCAACCACGACAACAACTTGGCTAACACGCTCCGGCCGCATGATGCGGCATTTGCCAACTAGATCAGCGCGGACTATAAAAGCCACGATCAAACGCCGCTTTCAAAACACAACCCAAACGGCAAGCAACGTGGCCTAAACCAAAGCCAAAAAAAAAGGCAACAAACAACTTGAAAAGTTTATCAAATAAACCTAGTCAAAATATTTCTGAAGAGGTGACAAAGCAAATGTGTCAATGAGGACACCGGACACCAAAGCGAAGCTTTTAAATAATTTAAGGTGAGTTTTTACTAGCAGAAACAAACGAAAAGAGAACTTCAAAAAAGATTTTCTTAGCTCAAGTCAAGAGTTTTGTGTTTCAATAATCTTTAAATGTGACTTAAATTCAGATAGAATCCTTGAGCTCAAGTCAAGAAGTTTTTAATAAAAAGTCTTCAAATTAAATATAAATATTAAATATTGTAAAAAAGATTCGAAAAGAGTTAATCAAATAAAAGCTCAAGTCAAGGATCTTTATCTTACTTTATGAATTTGCTTGAATTGAAACCAAAAAGAATCTAGAATCTGAATTTGACTCAAATCTCTTTTGATCAATTTTTGACCGCAAAAGGACGTACAACAAGCTGTATATTAGCTTTTATGAACTTTTTCCTTTTACTTATAAAAATCTCGCTCTTTTTATTGCAGCCTCTCCAAGCATCTCTCCTCTAAAAAGGGATCTCGCACCAGCAACTGCGGCAATCGTCTGGAATTTGCCGTGCTAACGCATCTAACCAACGTGCCCTGACTTCAGTCACAGCCCACCCACTTGTACTTTTTGTAACTGCAACGAATCTTAAATACCCTAACAGCAAAATGGTCCATCAAACTCGCACCGCCAGCAAGGCCATCCCAGCCAAGCATTTGAGCCCCATGCGCAGCACGGATATGCAGCTCGGCAAATATGCCGTCTCTACAAGTCCGGCCGATAGTTTTTTGCGCAACACGAGGCTCAATGTGAATGCAGCCAGAACCGGCAACGGTTCCGGAAACAGTCCAGCCAATTCCGGTGCCTATAAATACAACAATATGGTCAATAACAATCGGGAGCAGTTCAATGCCCTGCACTTCTGCTAAGCCTCATGATGTACATGATGATGATGATGATGATGATGTTTTTAATAAATATATAATTTCACATATATATATATATATATATATATATCAAATTAATTGTGACGCCTGTTTTAACACATAAATCGCAGTCACGTGTCGCTGCAAATAATTTTCATTTTCATTTTTTTCTTTTGGATTTTCCTCTGGCAAATTAAATTATTAGCAAACGTTCCCCGTCGCCAAAGCCGACGGCTGAGAAACATTTTTCATTGTTTTCGGCTGTCTGCGCCCACTTTATCATCGCATGCAAATCACATATGTGAGTGTGCGAGTGTGTGTGAGGGTGTGTGTGCGAGTGTGTGTTTGCGCGCGTGGCCACATTTCGCACATTTCACATTCGGTTTTTTTCCACACACACACACACACCCATTTGCCATATTTTTACATTAGTGCAAAATCAAAATCCAAACAGTCGCTCGGATTTGCATAAATTTTGATTAGCTCTGAGCCGATTTCCCACAAGAAATGCGGCTTTAAAAATAGCTTGACTTGGTTTTGCCCAAGTAAACAAAATATGACAACATTTTAGGAAACTTTTGCCTAAAAGGGAAAGAATTGAATTCGAAAGTGCAGAGATCTTTTGTTTTGTTATCGATAGGCATACGACTTATCGACAGTTTTGACCTATTGATACATTTAACTAATCATCTTTTTGAAAATTATTGACTTGGCTCTGACCAAGTAAACAATATGTGACAACATTTTAAGAAACTTTTTCTTTAAAGGGAAAGAATTGAATTCAGAAGTGCAGAGATCTTCTGTTTTGTTATCGATAAGCAGCTAACTTATCGATACATTTAAATAATCATCTTTTTGAAAAGGATTGACTTGACTTTGTCCAAGTAAACATAAAATGAAAACTTTTTAAGAAAGGTTTGCTTGAAAGAGAAAGAATTGAATTCCGAGATGTTCTGTTTTGTTATCGATAAGATAACCTATCGACACATTTAACTAATCATCTTTTTTGAAAATGATGTGTGTTTGTTGTGTCATGTTTAAAATATGTTTGAATTCTAGTCTGAGGCGAGCATAAACAAGTCTTGTACAGGGCTTAGAGTAGTTGAAAACTTCTTGATCTGGTTTAGCACGTGGAATATGCGAAAAAGAAACTTGTCTAGGCAACGCATACGAAATTCCTAAAGTATATTAAACCACTATTAAATGGAAAACTTGAAATTATGTACATATATCAGAGCTAGAAGCCGAAAATAAATATTGTCAAGGGTTCAAACCAGCATTTGGTTCGAATCAAGGTTAACTTTTGTCTATGATTAGATGAAACAATCAAATTAGCTCATTATTATTATTATTATTAAATATTCAAAAGCAATATACTTTTTTAAAGAATTTCAAAAACTGATTCAGTTAAAGGATTAGTTCCTGCAGTTTCTATTCAACTTCAGCCTTGATCCAAGAGATCTGTTGCATAGTTACAATAAGAAGTAGCTAACTAATATTATTTATGTCTAAACATTCTAAACCTTACAGGAAGCGCCCTTCGTAGCACAATCAACTTGTGTGCCATAACTTACAAACTAGTTATTAGCCCAACTTTTAGCTCAAATTTAAATAGTTTAATTTGCATACTTCTAGCTTGAAGCTTACTCATCATCTTAAAGAAATTTATATTAGGCGTGGAAAAATTATATATTATGTAAATATAAAAGCACAAGTCGAGTATGCAAATAAAAATCGGAACTGGTGCCGAGCTGGTTCCCGCATTCATGAATAAAAATCAAAGTGGGCCTAGCGACAAGACACGTAATTGTCGATTAGTTGTACAAACATTTACGTAGAATAAACCGGATTCAATGATTTGCATAGTTCTACAATGTTGCGCGTCTTCCATATATCATTAAGCTAAAGTTTTCCCACAGCCAACCAAGTGGCTAATAATCGTATCGCTAGCAAAAAGTTCGGGAATTGGAAAACAACCCTCCCCCGAGAAAAATTATGGAACAGTAGCTGCTGCTGCCATTAAAAGACAATCTGTTACATCGAAATGTGCACAAATCATATCCAGCCACAGAATTTTATGCCCGAAAAACGTTTTTATTATTCCAGTAAATTAAACGCTCAGCTCAAGTGAGGATTGCGTTCTTATAGAGAGAGCCCTATTGCTCAATTTCGAGCCGGAGTCCCGCGATGCGTCAGGCGTCGACAGTCATTAAATTATCACACATTTAACATCAAAAACAATTCACAACTCACAACTCACAGTTCACAAGTAGCGCCCTGCACCCTCGAAAACCCGGCGACCCTCTTGGCCTTGCCGTTGCCGTTGCCCTAACTCCCCTGGCCGGGACTTGACTTTAACCCCCGCAATCTAATGGGCCAGCCCTGGCAATATGGTGTTGTCGTTGTTCTTGTTGTTGTTGTTGTTGTTGTTGTTGTTACCCTGCCGCATTACAAGCTGAAAACATGGTTATTACATCAGGATTGCAGAGGAGTTGGAGTTCCTCCACGTTGATGGAGATGTCTGTAGACGCGGGTGGTGCGGCCCCGCACATGTGGGCGTTGCAAAACGGGCTGGATGGATGAATGCTGTCTTCTGATGATTATGACAGCATGACGACGACGACGATGCTTTCAGAGCAAACTGCCATTTAGTGATGGCTGCGTGACTCGTGACACGAAGTATAATTACTCGATTAATACTATATGCAATACATGTTATAAAATAGAGCTGGATAGAGTTGGATGGGTGAAAGCTGTCTCCTGATTATTATTACAGCATGACGATGACGACGAGAGACGAGAACAATCTAACATTTAGTGATGGGTGCGTGACTCGTGACACGATGCATAAGTACTCGATTAATACTATATGCAATATATAAGATAAATTTATGTTAAAAGTCCAAGCAAGGTGAATTCTTCAAGTGTAATAGTTAAACAACTGACAAAGGAGAATTGTGGATGAAATCTCAGGCTAGATTAAAACTAGTTATGATTTAGCAGGAGACAGAGTTAGGCTGAGATAGATATATTAAAGGTTTAGCTTAATTATTTATAATCATCATTAAATAAACTTCGGCACACTGAGCACGAAGTTTAGGGATCGAAGCCAGGCGCAGACAATAATTATAAAGTATTCTCATATGACACTAGAGGCTGTGCCTTCGAAAAGGCCTTAAAGATAAAGATAATTACATTCACATATACCAAAGATATAGAACGAAGTTTAAGGATCGAAGGCAATTCAGATAAAAGATAAAGATCAAGATAAATACATTCACATATACCAAAGCTAAAGATGTAGCAGAAATGGCAAAATAAATTTAAAAAATTATAAAAGTCAACTCAGATTTAATATATTGCTGCTTGCTCGCCTCGTGTCACGCGCCAATCTCTAGCTGGAAGCCCAGTCGCAGCGAGCGCAAGTTCAATTTAGTTTTTGGTTTTTGCATGGCTGCTGTGCAATATGCTGGCCATTAGAGGTCCGCCCTCGCCTGGTTGGGGGTAACTGATACGATGACTGGCCAAGAAATTGACGATAAATCATAAACGAAACATCAATTCCAGCACTTGACCCGACTGGCCGAAGGATGCAAAGGACGAGAGAGATTTTAAAGCGGCGTCCCTCCGGCTCCGCCTCTCCCTCTCCCTCTCTCCCTCCCTCGTTCTCTCTCTCTCTCTCTCTGTCCCTTGCGTGCAGGGAGTCAACTTTTCTGGTCACGTGCCGTCAGCTTTGAGTCCCAAATTAATTAATTGCCAAATGGAGAAAAAAGAGAGGAGATTGAAAGATTGATTAAGCCGTGACGCACAGACAGCGACGATAACCCTTCTGTCAACTTATCTATCACGCCAACATCCTGAAAGGATCTGTCGCAGCCCATGCAATGCACAACAATGCCCATACCCATGCCCATGCCGATGCCCCCACCCCCGCCCTTTTCCCAATTCTTGTCTGGCATTTTCACTATTTGCTGCGACGGGACATGATTTATCGACATTTTGGCGGAAATCGCTGCGCCAAAAACCAAACGAAACGTAACTTGGCCCAAAAACTTCTCGAACCTGAGGAGCACACAGGTTCAACTTTTTATACCCTGAACCCATTCAAAATGATACAAAGGGTAGATTGGTTAGTTGCGATTGCATGTAGCAGGCAAAAGGAGGCATTTTCGATATATCGATGTATACGATAGCTCCTACCGTTTTCATAATATCGATAAATATCGATTTTGAGGCGTGATTTCTTAATAGCTCGAAAATTATGAGAGCTATTTACACCAAACTTGGTGAAAAGGGTATATTGGTTATTTGCGGTTGCAGGTAACAGATCGAAGGATACATTTCCGATATATCGATATATTCGCTAGCTCCTACCATTTCCATAATATCGATAGATATCGATTTTGAGGCGTGACTTCTTAATAACTCGAAAGAAATGAGAGCTACTTACACCAAACTAACTTAATAATATAATACTTATTGTACATATTCCCACAACTCCCGAGGTATCTCCCAGTCGACTAGAACACTTTTACTTGTTTGCAAACCTGCGCCAGTTCCAACAGTGGGTACTCCAAGGAACGGAAACGCAATCGGCGCACTGCCAAAAATAAATTGATTACTGTCACGGAAATAGCTAGAACAGCTCCAACACACCTCCACACACATCGAAGTTTGTTTGTTAATCGATACAGCAGGACGATAGGAGGACACCTTTGCTCGGAAGGAGGACACCCAAATGTCTCAAAGTCAAAAGCAGCTTACGTGTAAATCAGGGCGGCATCTGGCCGTTGGTTTGGGGCTTTGGCTTTGGCTTTGGCGTCACGTTTATAGATCACGTGACGTGGCCATAAATAGTTGGCGCCTGTCAATTAAAGACACCTGCATCAGGTAAGTGAGGGAGGTGGCCAAAAGCTTACCACGCACACCTCAGCACAATTCGAAACGGTTCAATTCCGGAATTTCAATTAATTTGTAACTACGAATCGAACTTGAAACCAAGCCGAAGACATAATTTGTTGCAAATATATGTTGGTTAAATATAAAAAACTTAAGAGGAAGTCTCAGCATAAATACTTTAGACTT